AAGATATAATATAAAACAATTATTTATGTCTTTTATAAATTTAACAAAATTTTGGCAACTTTTGAATTACTAAATCATGAAATACAATGAAATTTTTTTCAGAAATTATAGAATAAGAAATTTTTTAAATTTTAGAGTATTTAAAAATTGTATATATAGAAAATTCTAAGAAAAAATGTTGATTTTCTTAGTATTTTTGAAGAATATTTCAATTCGTATATTCTAACAAAATTTTTATTAAGAAAGATACAAAATGTTTGGATGTATATAAATTATGCCCTATACATGTTACATATAATATATATTGCAGTCTATCGGTATTGGAAGAAAAAGTTATGATAATAACGAAATCCCTCAACTTTTACGCAATAACTCTCGAAGCATTTGTCTTTTATTGCGCTGGAGAATATCTTAGTGCTAAGATCAGCATTAGACGCGATTAATCACTGAAGCTTGTTTGTCATTGCAGAGTAAATCCATCAGCGATGTTGCGTACGAGTGCCTGTGATTTAACTCTTAGCGATTGTCGGATCCTGATATTCTTTATGTTGAGATCACAGAAATGATTAACCATCACTGGGCAAAATAATTGACCTGATCCTTGGAAGATCGCACAACCGTTCCAGCAAATGAGAATGGATTGAAATGAATCAAAATGGATTCAGATTTTCAGAAATATTGATTCACAAATTAAAATAAATGCTTTTCAATCCTGAATGCATTTTTATTCATTTATAGGAATTGTATGGAGCATATCTCTATGTCTTTCAATCTAAAAATAATATTAGCTTTTTCTGTGCATTGTGAATACTGTTTAATTCAAAATTTTGAATAGGAAATGCAGTTTTTCAATTCAATTGCAGCATAATAGTAATTTTTTCAACAATTTTATATAGAAAAAGAAAAAAATGAACAATTCCAGATACTTACCTTGTTATTCTGATATTCAGATATGCACACTACACATACACCTACACACGTTGGACGTGACCTTTTATACCTATAAACTAGAAAGAAATAATAATGTTTTATATTTTCAGACTGTTATTTCTAAATGTAGTTATTTATATGTGTGTTATTCACATTTTGGTTTCAAGTACCTTGTGGTATTTGAAATGGCAATATATGGGTTTCAAATTTACATGCTCGCTCAAACCACATGATAAATACGAATCTCCACTATCCACCCACAAGCAGAGAGCAAGTAAAAAGTTTCTATATGAATGTATTGGCATGATTTCAAGTTATTTATTCATTTGTTGAAATGCTGTAAGATGACTGATCAGATGTCCTCGAACTTCTTTGTCTTCACACACAGAGTTCTCACGAAGTGTACGATGGTGGGAGATGACCGCTTGCTTCTTGCGTGCCTGAGATTTCTGCCTTATAACGAACTTTCTTCCTGATCGTTTTCTTGATTTACAGTTGAAACAGGGTACAGATGAAAGAGTTAGAATGTTAGTGGAGACCTTGTTCTTTTATATTGCTATCCTTTTGGAGGCATTTATCTTCTGTTTCCTTATGATTATCTAAGTAATAAGATGAGTATCTGAAATCATTAGTCAGTTTTTTCTTTTTTTGTATAAAATTGTTGAAAAAATTACTAGATTGTCAATAAAAAGATTGAACTTATACAAAAAGATTACTTGTTTGATAATGAAGCATAATATACGTGTCGAGGACGACATCATATTTCTTCATATGTATCTCATTCGCATTTTAGAGCAGATACGATCGGTGATGCCGTATATGAATCTGATTGATATACTCTCAAACCTCGGGATCGCCGCATTCCACTATTTGTTATAATGAGATCGCAAAGACATCTGACAATTACTGTGGGGAAATGTATGGATTTATCGTGGAAAGTATTCATAAACGTAAGATTTCATTGAAATTATGGACTTTTTATAGTTATATATTGCAATAATATAGACATCTATATTAAAAAAATTGAATAATTATTGAGACAGTATGTCATTATATTGATAATTAACTGTTTTTTCGGGTGAATTAAAAATTATAGCACTTATTACAGCAGTGGTATAATTTACAATTAGTTGTTAAAAAAAAAAATAAACTATCAGTGCCATAATGTGTCCATAAATTCAAAATTTTTAATACCTGGACAACAGTTGGAGAAATCATCGATATAATGGCCCACATCTGTATAATTTTATAACTGTATATTTTGCAATATACATTTAGTGTTAATATTATATCGTTTTTATTGTGGGAAGTGTTAAGAAATGTTTCATTTTTCATGTTTGATATCTTCGACATCTTTGATGTATCTTATAACGCATTATTTTCAAATAAAAATTAGACATTCATTTTCATCTAAATGTACATAAATATGTATATAATATAAAAAAAGTTAAATATTACTTTTAAACATGACAATATATTTAATAATAATTTAAGGATATGTTAACAGTATATCAGAAGTAGAAGAAATTTCGAGTATTTTACTTATTTTATGTTATATGCAATTGAAGATATGTAAATATAATTTATATTTTATTATTCGTTTTTTTATTTCAATTGTTTGCAATAATAATGATGATAATGTTTTGTTTTATTGATTAATCTGCATAGTAAATTAATTCATTGCGAATTATTTAATTTTTCAGAGGTTGAAATCCGATGACGTACATATCTGCTTTGTACGCAATATATTGACACTGAGGAAAATGTATATATTGTACTTTAGACTGTGTATACACACTGTGATAAGTCAAAGTATTTATTTTTATAAATTAATTGTTATAATTTAATATAATACACGTTGTTGATACAAAATATATATGTATTTTTATCATGTTATTTTAGTTAATCTTATAATATGCAAGAAAAATCTAATTTTATATTCTTATAAATTGGTGTTAATGATTTGATGAAATTATGAATTTTCCTGATATCCAGCAGATTATCACTTGAATGGATCATTGCAAAATAATTTGAATGAAAAGAATTTCCTATATTTTGAGGCTTATATTTTAAGATAAAAAAATACTTACTTTGAAGTTTTTTGATGAGAAATCGCACACTTTCTAATATTAAAACGTTATAGAAAATGAAAGAAATAATAATTTTGTGTTCCAGACAGTTAAATCACTTTAAAAAATCAAATATAAATTTTTTGCACTCTAATATATTTTGTTTTATTTAATAATATTTAATAACATTATTAAGAAAATAACCTTTCGCATGCACAGAAATACGACTGTATAATATATTGCTTGTTATATTTTCACTTAACTTTGTTTCGATATTCATTTCGTGTCTTTCAATACATTTAATACTTTTCTTGAAAGAGCTATTTTAGAACTGTGACTGTTCCCGTGGATGTAAGTAGAAATGGCTGTCTTTTGCATTTTCCAAGCAATTAATTTGTTCCATCGGCGACATTTTTTACGAAAGAGTAAGACTAACTATTATATATTGCGGTTGTGCATTGTAATTATAGCTAAAAAGCTACAATTTTAATCCCCGTTGTTTCATGTAAACTGCTATAACTCTGTTTTCAGTTGATTGCAATTGATCGGTGATTATCTTGCTACGATTACGTTTAGCCAGTGAACCGTGCGTGATCAACATGCCTCTCTAGAGTCGTTTTACTATTATTGGCATTGTGATCGTGACATTACGACGTGAACAATTTTGACAAGTATTTCAAGTTACATTTCAGATATCGCAGATGTCGAATTATTGGTCAAATTTTACGTAATAGTGAATATAAATTAAAATATCGGTATTATTATATTTTGTTATAAAATTGTAAGATGTCACGACGCGATAACATGATTACAAGCACTGTTGCTCTTTGGGTGCAAATCGGTCTTCGAAGTATTGGGTTTTGGCCTAATACGCCTTGCGCCTTGTTGTTTCGATGCCTTTGGATATTGACCATCGGTATAGTGCAGACTTTCCAATATTGGTGGATCATTATTCACTTAAGAACCGACGATATGTCGTACTTGATGGATGGTTTAAGTGTCACTATAGAATACAGCGTTATGTCTCTAAAACTGATTATTTTGTGGTTCAATAGTCGGTAAGAAAATATTTTCCATGCAGTCAAAAATCAAAGTCAAGCTTTTTCATTTTTAAAAGTCATGATTCTTATAGCACTATCTTTTCTCTCTTAAGAGAGAGAAAAAAAGAGAGTAGAGAAAAAAATTATGTCTTCCTCTATCCATTTTTCAATAAAATTTCCAATTAATTTAAAATCTATAGGAAAGAAGATATATTATATTTAAATCAGACTTGAATACGGCAGCCTTTATTAGTTAATTTAGACAATATCACCATCTAATTGTAATATTTATGTATTGGGTCGTCCGGAAAGTCCGTGCGGAAAATACGCACGAACTTTCCGGACGACCCAATATAATATATAGGTAAAGCTAAATTTATTATTACATTTTTTGTCATAATTTATATATCACTTCATTTATTATCAAATGTATATTGGAAGATTAGATCTATTTCCTTTCCAGAACATATTCTTTTCTATCTTATTGTATTCCTATTTACTGTTAACTGTTTATCCATACACCTGGATAGAATAAATTGCCGCAGTATATTTTACAACGTCTTAGCTGCAATGGCTGCAGATTGGAGGGAAGCCACCAGCAGCGAAATGCACATCATGATGAGCAAGGCAAATCTATCGCGGCGCTTTTCCAATGTTATCATCGGGCTTCATTCGGTAGCAGTGATGTGCTTCGGCATTGAGGTGCTCGCATCCCATACCAACGATGCCGATCATGGAATCGAGACGCCTGTTCGCGCATTCACACTAAAGCTACAGCTTCCGTTACGATGCAACGAGTCGCCGCTGTACGAGCTCGTTATGAGTCTGGAGTTCCTTCATCAATTGGCAGCTTCCACTACGACCGGCGTACTTAACAGTCTGCTCATCACATTAGTGAGTGCAATATATGATAGAAAAATTCTTTTTCGATATTTTTATACTTACATTTAGGCGATATTGTATGATCATGTCAGTTGTTGTATTTTTCACATAACGTTGTATTTATTTATTAACTAACTATATTATACTAACAGATTATATATTATATGTAGAGGAGAGTGGGAAATTGGAAGCATCAAAAAATAATTTAAATAAAGTCAGTGATTGTTTACTAATCACAAACGTGTTTAAAAAAAATGCTCTAAATTGTTCTAAAATGCTTTAAGTTGCAATAATTAATTTATATATAAACGACATAATTTTAAACAATAAGTAAAATCTTTGTCGTTCGAAATTACTTGTCGCTACGACAAGTAATTTCGGGGCAATGCCAAATTAAATTTTATTTTTGTTTAAAATTATTTTTACATTGTTAACATATAAATGTTAACTATTTTAGTTTAAAGTTAATATCCTTTTAAAAATTTATTTAGTTGAGTAACAATCGTCGACTCTGTTTAATTTTTTTCTTAAATATTTATAATTCTCTTATTCTCCTCTCTATCAAAAAACATCGAAAACGATATTTATCTTAAACGATGTGTGTATTTAATAGTTTCGTGTTGTATAGTTAGATTAATCTTAATTGACAGTATTATTATGAAAGAAAAGATTGGCTGCTGCAGCAAATTATGATAGTAAAATATGGCATAACATATTTTAATTGGCTGCAGCATCCAATCTTTTCTTTCATTATTACAATGCTGTCAATTAAGATTAATTTAACTATACGTAATTTATTTTTATTATATTTAGTAACTTACTATTGTGTATTACGTGGTTAGTAACTATTATGATAGTGTGGAACTGTTTTCTATTTATTTATATCACGGTTTTATAGAAATATATATATATATAATACGTTTTCAGATTCTTCATACGAGCGGTCAGATAGAAATTTTGTGTGATACATTAAGAAATATCTCTCCCAAAATGAACGATCAACAACTAACTTTCTGTATAAAAGAAGCGATTGGCAAGCATCAAAAGATTATCACTTTCTCAGACAAAATTGATAAAATCTTCTCTTATATAGCGCTAATTCAATTCATGTCGAGTACACTACTAACCTGCTGCGTAGGATTCACGGTCATAACAGTAAGTAATTCTTTGCCAAAAATAAAGAGTATAGAGAAATAATGTTCATTTTGCAATGATAATGAATTATATCACGATTTGATGTTGCAGTCTATCAACACGCAAGATTCGGACACGGTCGATGGCACGGCACTAATGAAAGCTGTAGTGTTTTATATAGCTGCTGCCGTGGAGGCGTTTACTTTTTGCTTTTGCGGAGAATACCTCACTGCCAAGGTCGGAACAATCGAGATTTTTCAGCTTGATTCTCTGTATAGAGAAGTTAATTTATACGATTCGGTTATACATCGTGCGATGATTTCAAATAATTATAATTGCGTCTTTTTTATGGAGGATATATAAGTATTTAAAGAAGAAGTTAAACCTTCTTTTTCCTTTTCTTTTCAATGCAAAAAGAAAAATCGATAGATATTTTCTTTTCAATGTAAATATGTTGCAATGACCTCATAATAATTATATGAATTTGTATAATATATATTGTGTCATGTGCAAGTTTTATTAAACAAATATCTTGCTTTTAACGTATTAATTTTTTGTTAGTAAAATAATTATTATTACTTATATATTATTTAAATGATAATTATTTAAATTAATGTTAATGATACAATAATTTGCTTTAATTATCTATTTTTAGCAAGAATATATTGTTATAATTTAAGTATATGATGATTTCTTTATCAAACTATACTTTAATCATTTATCTCACTGACAACACAACTTTTTGCAACACTTTTCTTTAGAGCAAAATGATCGGCGATGCAGCGTACAAATCAGTTTGGTATGATTTTACACCCAAGGAGAGTAAGCTTGTTCTGCTTATAATATTGAGGTCACAAAGAAGACTTACCATTACTGCTGGAAATATGATGGACTTGTCGTTAGAGGGATTCACGAGTGTAAGATTTTAACATTGAATTTTTTGTTAATAAAGTCCTCATCTTGATGGATCAACTGATAGCTATGTCATTCCGTACAATCGCGATGTATTTTAATTATTAAGGGATTTTATAATATAATTTTTAGTTGATTGTGAAATATGTCTTTTTTAATAGAAATATTTGACTTACATTTTAACAGTTTGTTTATTTATAAATTTATTTCGATCGACTTTCTGTTGTATTATTAAATATTATTATTGTTATATTATTATTATATTATTATTATTTGGTATAATTTTTTTAGATTTTAAAGGCCTCTGTTTCGTATGTGTCAGTATTGCACGCAATGTATTGAAGTTCGAAGGCAAGCCATTTAGTGTCTAGATGGCCATTATATGTTGTTAAAGATATTAGGAGTTTTTCTCAACGGTTCTTTCTTGACAGTTTCTGTGATACATGTGAAATTGTATGATAATAATTATGTAAATTAAATGTAGCATAATGTAGTAATTTACCTTCCACAATTTGTAATAAAATATTTTAGATTTTCATGGTCAAATTACTCGCATTACTCGCATATATTCAAACCTCTATATTTTTTTTTGAATTTTATATTTTAATATAAAAATAATTGAACATTTTGTGCATTAACATAAATTCTTTTTGCTATATATATTTTTAAAAATAAAAGTAATTTTTTTATATAATGAAAACCGTCTATATGACCGTATCGTCCAACTTACTTTTCATATTCTTGCTTATCTTTACTTTATTGTTCGTTTTAGTATATTGAATTTTTTCTCAGCGAACACTGATCAATTTTCAGTAAGCTTCATGCATTTTTAAAGTAAATGACTCAGTAAGTTAGCGACTCTATCGTCGGAAAACTCAATGTTTTTAAACTAAACAGAAAAAAATTTGAGATAGATTGCTTTTTCTACATGTTACATTTTCCTCTCAAGTCTATAATCTAATAAATTGGCGAGCATTTAGTTTCAATTTAATTTCATTTCTGTGAAGTATGAGTAATTACGATTGATCGATGGTAATGATGCAGTTCACATTATTATGTTTTATTTCTCTCTTTCTATCGTTTTTACTTTTTGCTCTATCCGATGTTATTATGTCTAAGAGATTTACACGGCTTGGAAGTAGACTTTCTCAGAAGAAACATGGAGTTACGCAAAGATACGATAGGACGCGCAAGCACTATCAGTGAATCGGTCGAAGTGGGTTTACGTTTTATCGGAATGTGGCCACATTGTGTATACGCGAATATCAACTGGTGGACTTATATCGTGTCGGTGGCAATAATGCAATACTTTCAGTATGCATATATTTTCGCACACTTCGACCTCAGCGATCTCTCGGTTTTTGTAGATGGCCTAAGCATCACATTCGGCTACAGTTTGTCGTTCCTTAAACTGATCAATCTGTGGTTCAATCGTCGGTAAGATTAACTTAATAGTCTCTGCAGACAAGGCGAGTGATCGACCATGCCTTCATTTCGTTTTAATTCCATTTCTATCTTTCGTGAATGATATGGGATGTAAAAAATCCGTAGAAAGTTGTTCGCCATTCTGGATACAATGGATAAAGATTGGAGCGACGCAATCCATTCGGATGTGTCCACAATGATCAGATACGCCAACTGGTCGCGTCAATGTTCCAACGTAATGATCACTACAAATGCATTAGCTGTGTTCTTTTATGTAATCGGAGGTTTAATTCTCCGGTCAATGATTCAAAATAACGATGATTCAACTCGGGAGCTGCCCATCAAAATGGAATTTCCTTTTAAGATTGACAATTTTCCGATTTTTGAGCTAATATTGATACTTCAATTCTTTCATGATTTATCTGTAGCTTGTATCATCGCTATGCTGAACGCTTTGCTCGTTACGCTGGTAAGACTTCATTGTATTTCATGACTTAATTGGTTCGAAAGTTATCAAAATTTTATTAAATTTATAAAAGACATAAATAATTATTTTTATATTACCATTTTGCATTTAATTATACGCGCGCGTGTGTGTGTGTGTGTACGTACAGGCTTTTTCTCTTTGTGTTAGCTAATTCTTTATTTGAAAACTCAATTGGAATTAGAAATTAATTGTAGTAGTTTCTGGGATATTTGTGAGAGACTATTTATTATTATATTCTATAATTTTTTATACTAGATTTTTTTTTTTTTGTCTTTTTAGTGGCATTGGAATCTTGTGTTTCAACAAATACTATAGTTTTTTTATTTTTAAATACAATTTTGTGTGTATAATTTTTCAGATTTTTTGCGGAGATATAGCCATACTGCTGTAAAGTGTCTATAAAACTGAAGATGTTTTTTAGGTACTACACGTAAGTGGTCAAATTGATATTATGCTGCAAGGATTCATGGAAATTTCCTCTAAGCATACATCAAGATCTTCTCTGGCTGCTATTAAAGATTTAGTTAATAGACATCAGAGAATCATCGATTTGTCAGACGATATTGAAGATCTTTTCTCAAACATCGCATTGTTGCAATTTATCTGGAATACTTTGGTCATCTGTTGTATAGGCTTTGTGATTGTAATAGTAAGTTTTAATTTTATACATTTTTTGTGCTATAATATTGTTTTCATCTTATTCTCTCTCTCTCTCTCTCTCTCTCTCTCTCTCTCTCTGTCTTTATTTTTTTACAAATTACTTTTAAATTTTAAATATTATTTTTAATTTTGATAAAAATTTATTCTAATTTTTTATATAATTTTTCAGAATTTTTATATAAAAATTTCGGAATTTTTTATGAATAATTTTGGAATATTTTAGAAAAATTTTTAGATTTTTTTTAGAAAAATTGAAACACTTTTCAGAAATGCCAAGAAAGTCTACATCTTTTCTAGAATTTTTCATATAATATATGAATTCTGTAATATTCAAAAATTTAGAAGATTTTTCATCCTATAATTTTTGATGAATCTTTATAAAATTTGAAAAGTTTGCGAGATTTTTTCAGAAATTATAGAATGTCAATTCTTAAAAGTTTTGAAATATTTTGAAAATTATATATATGGAAAATTCTAAGAGAAGATGTAGACTTTCTTAGTATTTTTGAAGAATATTTAAATTTGTATAAAAATTCTAAAAAAAATTTTTTTCAAGAAAGATGCAAAATGCTTGAATGTTTATAAATTGTCTTATATATAAGTATTATGCATATTGCAGTCTATCGGTACGGAAGCAGGCGCTACGACGATAACGAAATCCCTCATCTTTTATGTTGCGATAACTCTCGAGGCATTTGTTTTTTGCTACGCTGGAGAATATCTTAGTGCCAAGGTCAGCGTAAGGGAGCATAATGGTAGCGTCGTAGAAATTCTTGAAACTTCGCGTTAACTTCTGAAAGAAATTTATTATTAGACGCGATTAATCATGGAAGTCTTTTTGTCTTTGCAGAGTAAATCCATCAGTGATGCTGCGTACGAGTGTCTGTGGTACGATCTAACTCCCAGCGAGTGTCGAATCTTGATGTTCCTTATGTTGAGATCACAGAAACGGTTAACCATCACTGCGGGCAAGATAACTGATCTGTCCTTGGAAGGTTTTACAACCGTGAGTTAACTTGAACTATGCGGAAACTTTTGCCGTTCGAACTAAAACAAAAATTTTAATGTGTTTAATTGCCAGATTATGAAGTCCTCTGCGTCGTATATATCCGTATTGAGTGCACTATATTAAAAAAGAATGAAGAATTGCATTTGGACACTGGTGAGTCTTTTAATATCATAGAATATTAAATTAAATTTATCTCAATGGCAATAACAAACTGACATTTTCTGAAGGAAAGGACGCCATTTGATTTCTATGCAATGCGACAAGAATAGTTTTAGCCAAACGTTCAATTCTCCGTTGAGCGGAGTGTTTGTATATACATATTATATATATATATATATATTAGTACAATAAACTTTGGCAAAAAGTATTTTGTATTTAACCATATACTCTGCAGAGGTCTAATTTTTGAATAATATGATTTTATTTACATATAAAAAAAAGAAGTGATGCTACCACTCACTTATAAAACGCTACTATGCTATTACAAAATTGAGAATAATCTAGCTTTCATGCGCATATTCAATATCAAATTCTTCACTTTCCTTTTTCATATTATCTTTATTTTCTGCCTATAGATATTAACGTTTTTTTTTTTTCGTAATAGCGTACTTTTTTGTCGGATGTAGAGTCGCTAATTGCAGAAATGATTATATCTTCGCATTTACAAGGTTTTATCTCTTCGGTAATTATAAAGAAATATTACATGAGCTATTTCAGCGGGAAAAGTGGACGCGTTTTGTTTTTCATTCGGTGTACTTATAAGCTTTCAAGAAATAATGGGATTTGAATAGTCGGCGTATAATTACGATTGATCGAGGGAGGACTGCGCTTTATCGTCTTTTTCCATGATTATTCGGAGAGCGACGCTTTCATTGTGCATTTTACTGGTCTAAGTTTACATTCCTTACGTGCATTGACATCTCGATAGCCTTCAGTTCGTAACGTGCAGTAATTGTTGCGGAACGATGAAGCGCACAAGTACCATCAGTCGCCCAGTCGAAATTGGTCTCCGTTTCATCGGTATGTGGCCGGATTCGGCCCACGCGACTCTTTATTGGTTATTTTATATGGCGACGATGGTGACAGTTCAATATTATCAGTATACATATGTTTTTACACATTTTGATTTGAGTGATATTTCGCTCCTCATGGACTGTCTTGGTCTTACTCTGGCGTACACTCTCGCCTTTCTCAAGCTCTTTGTCTTATGGTGGAATCGTCGGTAAGACGTATTTTATTGTAGATGTAATTAAAAACGAATAAGAGCAATTTTGACAATAGACTATGTCTCTGTTATTAATGAATAATTTCGACAAAATGAAAATCAAATTTATCATTAGTACCACGGCTGGTATTTATC